AGGGATCCTGCGGAAGGTTTGGGAGCATCTCTGGGCACAGGGGTGCCAAAAGGGCTCGGAAGCGGCAGAGCTGGTCCCCAGGGGTGCTCCGCTCTCCGGCTCCTCGTCTCCCTGCACGAGACACTCATTTCTCGGCCGAGGAGGATGAGGAAGGGAAGGAAAGCAGCAGGTGGATGCAAAGGGCTGAGCGAGCAGGCGGGTGAGGAGAAAGGCTCCTTTGGAAGAGCGAGACAATTAGGGCAAATTTGGGATTAAAAGCGGAGGGGCAAAAAGCCGCGAGCGGTAATTTGGGACTGCAAGGTCTGCCGTCAGCGGGAGCGGGAGCGGGCGAGGATGCGGGAAAGGCGGGGAGCGGGACGGGAACAGGCTCGGGGCTGCCGCGGAGGATCCCGCAGGTGCGGGAGGAGCAGCACCTGGGCTGCGGGATCACGAACGGGGCAGGGGGCGGGCACCGAGCGCTGCCCCGGGGCCCGGCGGGGCTCCGGCGGGGCATCGAAGGGACAGCGAAGGGACAGCGAAGGGACAGCGAAGGGGCAGCGAAGTGACAGCGAAGGGACAGCGAAGGGGCAGCGAAGGGTTAAGCGCGGCCGCGCCGCCGCCGCTCCGCCGCCCGCCCCCCGCGCACGGCGGGGCCGGGAGCGGGGTCTGCGCGGAGCCCGCCCGGCCCCCGCCGCTGCCGCTCAATGCTGCGGCCGCGGGGCTGCGGGAGCTGCGGGAACACCGGGAGCACCGCGGGGCTGCGGGAGCTGCGGGAACACCGGGAGCACCGCGGGGCTGCGGGAGCCGCGCCGGGCAGGGCAGGGCAGGGCAGGGCAGGGCATGTCCCCCTCTCCCGCACAGGTGAGCGCGGCTCGGCACCGGGAGCAGGCAGGGGGGGTTAGAAAGGGGAAAGAAAATAGGAATAACTAAGGAAATTAGGAAAGGCTGCGGTTCGGGGGAAGGAGAGCGCGGCCGCGCTGCGGGAGCCGGCGGGGATGCGGGGCCGGGCGGACGCGGTGCCTGCCCCGCCGGGCTCCCCGCAGTGCCCCCGCGGCTCCTGGCCGGGCGGAGCTCTGTGCGGGGCTGGGCGCGGGGTCCGCAGAGTCGGCCCGGGCGGGGGTCGGGGCGTTGCCCCCGGGCACGGGGAGCGGGAGCGGCGGGACCGGGAGCATCCTTCGCTCCCTCCATCCCTCCCTCCCTGCACGCGCAGGGATGCTCCCGCCAGGCTGGCACAGACGCGCGCACAACTTTTTGCTGGCTAACGCGGCTGGAGCTGAAGCTCCTTTCGCCTTCCCCAGGCTGATGCTGCTCCCGTGTCCTGAGCAACAAACTGCAGCGGGTTGTTTTATTGATCCCAGACAGGAATGACTTGCTCTCTAAACTACAACTTAAAGGATGCTGCTTGCATAACAAGTGGGAATAGCTGGGATCTTACATACTAATTATCCGTCACCTTTTAGGCTCAGCAAAAGAGGGTTTGAGGGTTTTTTGCAAGGAGGGTTCGATATTCTGGTGCCACGTGATTTATTTCCCTTGGGTTAAGGAGTTGGCTTTGTCTGACAGTTCTGTGTAGTTAACTGAATTTAAAACACTCTTTAAAAATCAGAGGTAAAGACAAGGCAGAGTGAAGGAAGGCTATTAACCGTCAGATAACTCAATTGCCTTTTTCTTTGCTCTCGTGGTCTTTGTGAGTTCTATTTGCTGGGCCATGCTGGAGATGGCTGATCCCCATCAGGGGCAGGGGTGGGCACAGCCCTGGTACTGTGCAGGCCCTGCCAGGGAAGCTGCTACTCCTTCGAAATCCTCTTCTGGGTTTGAAAGTCCCTAACTCCTGCCAGGTCTCTTTTGAGGTGTGTTAGATTAGAGCAAGTGTGGGGTTTCTTCCCCCTGTGGCCTGCAGTGCCCCCCTCCCCCCCGTGCCAGCAGTTGGCAGAGTCCCTTTGCTGCTGCTGCTGCCCTGGTGTTGAGCCCCGCGGTTCCCCAGAGGACGAGCCTCCCTTTGCAGAGGATTTGGCGCGGGGGGAGGCGGAGCGGCGGCGAAGAGCGGCGAGGAGCGGCTGAAGGAGATGGAGGCCGAGATGGCGCTGTGAGGAGCGGGGGAAGGGGCGGGGCTTTGTGGCCATGGCAACGGGGGCGGGGCCGGGACCGCAGGGAGGGGAGGAGTGCCATGGGAACGGGGGCGGGGCTTGGGGTGGCCATGGCAACGGGGGCGGAGCTTGGGCAGTGGGTGGAGCCTGAGTGTGACCATGGCAACAGAGGTGGGGTCGCTCTGGTGGGTGGGGCTTAGAGGCAGGAGGAGCTTCGGGGTGTTAATGATTGTGGGTGGGGCTTGGAGGTTAATGGCGGTAGTGGGTGGGACTTGGGGCAGTGGGCGGGGTTTAAGGGTGTCCATGGCAATGGGGTGGGGTTTAGGGCAGTGGGAGGAGTTTGGGTTCCTATGGCAACAGGGGTGGGGTCTAAGGGGTTGGGATGGGCGGGGCTTGGTTTCCCAGTGGCCATGTGGGCGGGGCCAGGGGCTTGGTGATGGGGGTGTTATTGGGAGGGCCCTGGGTGTTACTGGAAGCACTGGGAGGGTGCTGGGGGGTCACTGGGGTGTTACTGGGAGCACTGGGAGGGTGCTGGGGGGTCACTGGGGTGTTACTGGGAGCACTGGGAGGGTCACTGGTGTCACTGGGGGGGTGTCACCGGTGCCCCTCCCCCCCCAGGTTCGAGCAGGAGGTTTTGGGGGCTCCAGGCCCCGCCCCTGGGGACCCGCTGGCCCCGCCCCCCATCCTGCAGCCAATCATCGCCACCAACACCTACCAACAGGTGACCTTTGACCCCCTGAAAATGACCCCTGACCCCCCCAATGTCCCCCAATGTCCCCAATGTGTCCCCAATGTCCCCAATGTCCCCCCAATGTCCCTCCAATGTCCCCCAATATCCCCAATGTCCCTCCAATGTCCCCCAATGTCCCCCAAGGTCCCTCCAATGTCCCCAATGTCCCCAATGTGTCCCCAATGTCCCCCAATGTCCCCCCAATGTCCCCAATGTCCCCCCGATGTCCCCCCGATGTCCCCCCGATGTCCCCCAATGTCCCCCAATGTCCCCCCAATGTCCCCCCAATGTCCCCCCCCAAATGTTCCCCCAGTGTGGGTCCCCCAATGTCCCCCCAATGGCCCAAATTGTCCCCCAACCAAATGTCCCCCCAATGTCCCCAATGTCCCCCAATGTCTCCCCAATGTCCCCAATGTCCCCCCAATGTCCCTAATGTCCCCAATGTCCCCCCAATGTCCCCAATGTCCCCAATGTTCCCCCAATATCCCCCCAATGTCCCCAGTGTCCCCAGTGTCCCCCAATGTCCCCCCAGTTGGAAATGTTTGCCATCATCCAAACACATGTACAACTCACAGCTGTCCCTCCTCACGTCCCTCGCAGGTCAGCAGCGACAGCCTTGGAGGAGCCTCAGGATTGCTCCCTGCAGTGATCCCTGCTCCAGCCTTGGAATACAGAGCAAAAACCCAGGGAATGCTCCGTGCCTGCAGCTCTCCCGCTCTGGGCTGTGCCACCTCCACACAGCTTCTCCTGGGAAGTTCTCTGCAGCCCAGCACAGGAGGATCCAGCTCTGCTCGCGGCCCTCTGCTCCTGGAGTCGTCGAGGAGCAGCTGCAACAATTCCCCGAGTCCCATTCCCGCCTTTCGGGACGTTTCCTTGGAGCTCCCTTTGTTCTGTGACATGTTCCAAACCTCCTCAGATCCCCCCGAAAACTCCCCCAGGACCCCCCAAACCCTCCTGTGACCCCCCAAAATCCAGCAGAGACCCCCAACCCCCCCCAAATCCCTCATACCCCCCCCAACTTCCCCCCATATCCCTCATTCCCCCAAATCCCCTCAAATCCCTCATGTTCCCCCAAATCCCTCATGTCCTCTCAAATCCCTCATGTTCCCCCAAATTCCCCCAAATCCCTCATGTTCCCCCAAATTCCCCCAAATCCCTCATGTTCCCCCAAATCCCCCCAAATCCCTCATGTCCCCCCAAATCCCTCATGTCCCCCCAAATCCCCCCAAATCCCACTCCCACCTTGCTGGCGAACCACAGGGAATTGATGGATTCCCCAAAATTCTCCTCCAGGGAGAAAATGGTTACTAACATGTCTCCAATTTCCCCTCTCCCCCTGGGGAGGGGAAATTTGGGATTCAGGGAGGAATTTGGGGATTCAGGGGAGAATTTTTGGATTCAGGGAGGATTTTGAGGGAAATTTGGGGGTTTAGGGCTGTCTCATCATCGGACATCCTTGGATACCGGTATCGCTTTGTTCGGGTCTTTTCCGTCTGGTGTCTGGTCTCCTGTAAAACACAACTTAGGGCACAGAATTAGTTTTTCCCCAGGGCTAGATTTCCTTGAGGGACACATTGGATCTCTCCATCCTTCCTCATAACCTACCAGGTATTTCCGGGCCCTTGAGCAAAAACAATCCCACGACTGGGTTTGTCTTGGCCTGAGGGAGGAGTGATCCAAAGGGCCTTACCTAACATACCTTTGAGATGGATGGCTGGAACTTTGTCTCCATCTCCAGTGTGGAGGGATTCTGCTTGGACAGGACCAGCTCGGTTGACAGAGCCTCTAGTGTTGACGAGCCAGGTGGCCTTGGCTAAGTTCTTATCCCAATTTTTGTAAGTTCCCTCACCTAGTGCCTTTAGGGTTGTCTTCAACAGTCCATTACACCTTTCTACTTTTCCTGCAGCAGGTGCCAGATATGGAATGTGATAGACCCATTCAATCCCATGCTCCTGTGCCCAAGTGGCTGTTCTTGAAATGAGTCCCGTTGTCTGACTCAATCCGGCGCTCACTGAGCTCCCTCTGGAGCTGCTCCCGGGACTCCTTGAGCTCCCTCTGGAGCTGCTCCCGGGACTCCTTGAGCTCCCTCTGGAGCTGCTCCCAGGACTCCTTGAGCTCCCTCTGGAGCTGCTCCCGGGACTCCTTGAGCTCCCTCTGGAGCTGCTCCCGGGACTCCTTGAGCTCCCTCTGGAGCTGCTCCCGGGATTCCTTGAGCTCCCTCTGGAGCTGCTCCCGGGACTCTCTGAGCTCCCTCTGGAGCTGCTCCTGGGACTCCTGGAGCAAAACTCAAGAACTAACAGCAAAGAACAGGGATGGTTTGGTTTAGTGCTGAATGCCATGGGTGTAAACGGCAGGTCTGAGATGAAGAAGTTTTTTCCCAGTTTAGCCCCCTCAGCCCCTGTCCTATTGTGACAGGCCCTACTGAACCCAAAATGGAGAGAAATCACCCCAAAATGTGGAGAAAACATCCCAAAATAGGGATTAAAACCCCCAGAATGTGGCAAAATCAGCCCCAAATGGGGAGAAATCGTCCCAAAACACCCCAAAATGGAGAGAAATCAGCCCAAAATAGGGACAAATCACCCCAAAAGTCTCCAATTTCCCCCCCAGAATTCCCAAACTTCCTCAAATCCCAGGAATTCGGCATTTTCCCACCTCCTCCTCCCCGGTGACTGGCACCCAGGTGAGGTTGGGTACGTGGAGCTCGTTACTGTCGGGGCTGATCCGTCGGATTTCGAGGTCTGCTCTGCGCTCCCCTCTCCGCAGCAGCAGATCCCGCAGGGATTCGTTGTAGATCTCCAGGAAACTTGCTGAAAACTGGTACTAAAACAGCCTCAGTCAACCCGAAAGCCTCGGAATTCGGCCCCCCCACCCCCAAAATCCCCCCTACAATTCCCAAAATCTCTGGAATTTGGGGGGATTTGGGGAAATTGTGGAGAAGTTGGAGAGAACTGGGGAATTTTTGGAAGGCTTTTGGGGGAAATTCTGTGGGATCTTGAGGGGTTTGGGGTTGACTTGCGTGGACTTGAGGTCAGTTTTTGTGGATTTTCAGAAGGTTTTGAGGGATTCTTGATGGAATTTGAGGGGTTTGGGTGGATTTCAGGGGAATTTTGGTGGTTCCCTCACCCCACTCGGAGGCAGCTTTCCCACAGCTCCGGCTGGAGGGGGATTTTCAGTGGATCTTTGACAGATTTGGAGTGGGTTTGGAAGGATTTTTGCTCCATTTCAATGGATTTCAGCTCAGTTCTGCAGGATTTCCTGGGATTTTGAGTGGATTTCAAGGGGGATTTTGAGGGACTTGGATGGATTTTGTTGGCGTTTTTTACGGGATTTGGGCGGATTTTGCTGGATTTGGGGCAGTTTTGGGGGATGTTTCGGTGCTTTGCTCACCGTACTCTGGAGCTCAGGGTGCTCTCTCTCCTCTCCCGCTCCCTGAGCTCCTGATGTAGAGTCTCTGTGGACTCCTTGAGCTGCTCCCTGGACTCCTGAAGTCGCTGGTTCTTCTGCTCTAAGCTACGTTTTTCTCTCTGGACCTTCCGGAGTCGCTTCTGGGCCTGGCGCAGCTTTTCCCGGAGCTCCCACATCTGCACCCAGAAGTCCCAGGGCGAGCGTTTGGGGGGGCACAGGGGGCTCCTGGGGGGACACCTGGGGTTGGGGACATCAGGAACGGGGTTTGGGGACAGTGAGGAGGGGTTTGGGGGCATCAGAGAGTGGTTTGGGGGCATCAGAGAGTGGTTTGGGGGCATCAGAGATGGGTTTGGGGGCATCAGAGATGGGTTTGGGGGCATCAGAGAGTGGTTTGGGGACACCGTGGGGGTCTCAGGCCTCACCCGCTCCTGGTGCAGCTGCAACCGATGTCTTCTGCGGGGTACCTGGGGGACAGGGGACATTTGGGGGAATTTGGGGACATTTGGGGGGTTTTTCAGGTCCTACCTGCAGCCGCAGGACTGTGTGTATTCTGGGGGGTAGCGGGGGGAGAGGGGACATTTTGGGGAGGCTGAGCTCCCTCTGGAGCTGCTCCCGGGACTCTTTGAGCTCCCTCTGGAGCTGCTCCCGGGACTCTCTGAGCTCCCTCTGGAGCTGCTCTCAGGACATTTTTGAGGGGGAAAAAAGGGATTTTTGAGGGAAAAAATGACATTTTTGAAGGCTAAAAAGGGATTTTTGAGGGGAAAAAGGGCATTTTTGGGTGCAGCCCTTCTCACCTCGTCGGGTTGGGTGACAATGAGTGTTGTGGAGTTCTGCGGGGAGAAGTGCAGGTGCTGCAGCCCCCGCTGCCGCTCCGACTCCTCCGGCAGCACGGGCCGCACGCGGCAGAACACGGGGATGTTGTCCTGGAAAACGGGGAAAAATACGGGATTTAGGGATTTTGGGAGAGTTTACGGGGGGTTCCCCTCATAAAATGCCCCCCTCTGCCCCGGACCCACTTTGGGCTCCTGGGTGTCATTGTGGAGGCGGCGTCGCTCCATCTCCAGATGGTGGATCTGTTCTTCCTGCTGATCCCGGAGGGATTTTTGCAATCTTTGCACCTCCTGGAGAGCGGCCATCCGGTCCTTCTGCAGGTGGAGATGGTCCTCGACCCGTCTCCAGTGAGCCTGGGGAGGAACGGGGGGGAAATGGCACTAAAAGGGAAAAAACCAGCGGAATCGGGGCAAAATTCCCAAGGTTTTCCTGACTTTTCCCAAATTTTGAGGTGCCACAAAGCGGATTTTGATGCCAAAATGGCAGAACGGGTAAAAAAGTGCCATTTTTTCCAGATTTTTGAGGCACCTCCTGAGGGATTTTGATGCCAAAAGCAGCACAATTGGTAAAAATTCCAAATTTTTTTCTCGGTTTTTCCGCATCCTCGCAGGGATTTTTGGCCGAAAAATCATGAAATTGGTAAAAATTCCCATTTTTTGAGAATTTTGAGGTGCTCCTCCAAGGGATTTTGGGTGGAAAATTCCCTTTTTTTCTTCTTTTCCCAAATTCTGCGGCGCTCTCTGAGAGATTTTAATGCCACAAAGCTCAAAATCGGTGCTGTTATAAGTAAAACTAGGAAATTTGCTGTTCAAAAGAGTTAATGGTGTTGTTGTATCTTATTAACCACATTGTTAAGAGTCATAAGTGATTTAATTGTGAAATTTCTAACCACGAGTTTGTTAACACAACGCAGAGTGACTTGGTATTTTAAAGATGTTTGTTATAAGCCTATTAATAGGGACTAATATGGAGGGCAAGCCACGAGGAGTCCTGTGATTAGATGACATCTGCCGATGGAAAATTCCAGGACCACGGCCACATAGAGACTAAGGACTTTGATATTATTGGTGGAAGCCCCTCAGCAACGGCAAGACCCGCGAACGGAGGAGCCAACCTTGGACTAGCCCGCGAAGGAGGAACCAGACAGAAGATAGCCCGCGAAAGTCTCACCAATGGACTATTGACATGACTTAGGGGGGTGGGGCCAACGAGGGTTATAATTACTGCTGTTTCGGTTCCCCATTTTGCGGACTGTGGTGGAGCAAGGGTTTCCCCCGGTCGCCCGGCTAGCCGCTTTTGCTTGTTAGCATTAATAAACCTGTTTTTACCTTGCAACCTAAATTTTAGCCTCATTTTATCTATCACAATTGGTGCCGTGACTCGGATGGAGACCCCTGAGTGATAGAAACACTCTTTGGGGAAGGGCGCCCCCGTCCCTTTTTGGACGGCCCCGGGAGATTCTTTCATTCAGCCTCTCCATACCGACCCGTTTATTAAGGCAAACAAGCAAAAGAAAAAGGTGTTCTGCAGATCCTCGTAATCTCTGCATGCGGGTCCAGACAACGTCTAGCTCAAGGGTAGCTAGGTGAGCTCTGTTTGAGGGCAGTAGTCGATCAAAGGCGAGGCGGCTGCGTGGTGGGTTGTCTGGTTGGGGAAGGTCCGCTCCAGTGCTTGGGGCACTGCCGGAAAGAGCGAAGACTCGCCCACGGAGAGGTGAGTATTGCGTACCCCCTTGGCGGTTGGGAGGGGGTCCTGGGGTGTGCCTGTCTGAGACGTTCTCTGAGAGGAACGAAGTGATTGTGGACCTCCCAGTAGTGCGGTTCCTGTCGCCCGCGAGGGACCAGGCCACGACCGGAGGGAAGCGTTTGTGATTTGAGTGAGTGTGTGTGTGAGAGAAGGCACCCCAGAAGATGGGCTCGGGGAAGAGCAAGGTTTCCCCACCCATGGGTGGCTGTGCGGTAGATCAGCCAGGAAGGTCCTTTGATGAGGGACGGCTCCTGAGGTCCGGGGGTTCCCTAAAAGGGAAAGGACTAGGGAGCAAAATTAATTCAGTAAAAAGGAGCTCTCGAGAAAAACGGCAGTCTACGCTAGAAAGCTGTGGTTCTCAGAATGAGAAGAGCTGTGTCAGAGATTCGTCAGCCGAAAAGGGAAGTGGTGTTGTGGGTGAGACGAAACTAGAATCTCTGAGAGAAAAAGGATGTGAAAGCAGCGACTTTGAGGCTAGGTCGCAGGGCATTCCAGCAAACAGCCCGTTAGGAATTTTGTTAAAACGTTGGAATAGCAACCCGTACACTCTCGGGAAATCAAGAGAGACGATGGTCTATTATTGTATTGAAGTGTGGGGAGGAAGACCGATAGGGAGCGGTATTTGCTGGCCGATTTATGGCACGTTTGAGAATTGGATTTGTGAGATGCTGAATTTTCATGTTAATGAAAAAAGACCCTATTGTCCGGAGGAGTGCAAATACGCCGTTATCTGGTTGGGATCTAGTACTCCTACTCGGCTATTCCCGCTTAAAGAACAGGGAAAGCAAGTAAATTGTAATAAAGATTTTGAACTCCGGAGTTCACCTCCCCCTTATATCCCTCCGTACCGTGAGGATAGTGAAGTGACACCAAGTGCTCCAATGGTGTCAGAACCCGCCATCTTACATGAGCAAGGGCGGGAATTCACCATTTTAAGTCCAGCAGGGCGAAAGCCCGCCGATTTCTTGGCACAAGGGCGGGAATCCGCCATTTTATCCACACAAGGGCGGGAATCCGCCATTTTATCCACACCAGGGCGGGAATCCGCCATTTTATCCACACAAGGGCGGGAATCCGCCATTTTGTCGTCCACTTCTGTACACCTGTCAGCTGATAAAGCTAGTGAGTCTTTTTTACTTAATGACATAACAGAGGCTCACGGAATAACTGAACATCCCCCTCAGAAATCTCAGTTATATCCTCTTCGTGAAACAGCCCTGCCAGGGAGACAGGGAGGTATCGGATTCGTATCGGTACCTCTTAGTTCGGGAGACGTAAGAGCATTTAAGAAAGAAATGGGAAATTTATTAGAAGATCCTATAGGAGTTTCTGAAAGGTTTGATCAATTTTTAGGACCTAACACCTATACGTGGGATGAGATGCAGGCAATATTGGGCATCTTGTTTACGGTAGAGGAAAGGGGAATGATTAGAGCAGCTGGCATGAGGAGTTGGGACAGAAGGCATCAGCAAGGTCCTGCTGCTGAAACTAAATGGCCTATTGAAAAACCCAATTGGAATAACCAAAGGCCTGAAGATAGAGCTCTGATGGATGATTTAAGAAGTATAATTGTTCAGGGGATACGAGAGTCTGTTCCTAGGGGACAGAATATAGACAGAGCATTCAAAGAATATCAAAGAAAAGAAGAGTCACCTACAGATTGGTTGGAAAGACTAAGAAAAAGTTTTCAACTGTATTCGGGAATGGATCCCGAGGATGATGCTATGGGACAGGCGGTGCTCAAGCTTAGGTTTGTCCAGGGGTCTTGGGAAGACATTAGAAGGAAATTAGAAAAGAACAGAGATTGGCAAACAAAAGGATTAGATTTGTTGTTGAGAGAGGCTCAGGAGGTGTATGTTAGAAGGGACGAAGTAAGAGAAGAAGAGAAGCAGAAAAGAAAAGAAGACATGCAAAGGAAACAAACCAGGGTTTTAGTAGCAGCTATCAAAGGAGAACAAAATGGTGTCAGAGAATTAGAGAAGAAGGAATTTTTTAATCACAATGATCGGTCACAACGGGGAAGGGATAAAAGAACTAATTATAGGGAACTTGAATGTTACTATTGTGGTCAGAAGGGACATATTCAGAGGAACTGCAAAAAGAAGCAGAAAGATGAACAAGTCTTCTTAGAAGACTGAAGGGGTCAGGGGCTCTATCTGCTGGGGACCCCAAAGAATACTGAGCCCTTGATAAAATTAAAAGTGGGTCCTCAGCAACAAGTTCTTGAGTTTCTTGTAGACTCAGGGGCTGAAAGATCAACAGTGCAACAATTACCTCCAGGTTGCATAATATCATCTGATAAAGTTCAAGTAATTGGAGCAAAAGGGGAGCCTTTTAAAGTACCAATAATAAAAGATGTTGAAATAGAGGCTTCCAATAAATTTGCATTAGGAACATTCTTGTTAGTTCCGGAGGCAGAGTATAATTTATTAGGGAGAGACCTAATGGTTGAATTGGGAATTCATTTAGAAGTTTCTGAACAGCAGTTGAAGGTAAAGATTTATGCCCTTACGGCGGAAGATGAAGTTCAAATTAATCCAGAAGTGTGGCACACTTCTGATACAATAGGAAAGTTAAATATAGAGCCATTTGAAATTTCTGTAAAAGATCCAAATAGACCCATTAGGGTAAGGTAATATCCAATTCCTAATGAAGGAAAAATGGGCTTAAAGCCTACTATAGAAAGATTGCTGGCAAAAGGATTGCTAGAACCCTGTATGTCCCCTCACAATACTCCCATATTACCTGTTAAAAAGCCAGATGGGACTTATCGACTGGTACAAGATCTAAGAGAGGTGAATAAACGGACAGTGACAAGGTTCCCTGTGGTTGCAAACCCATACACTTTATTAAGCCAAGTATCACCAGAACATCAATGGTATAGTGTGATAGACCTAAAAGATGCTTTTTGGACTTGCCCTCTTAAGGAGGAGAGTAGAAATTATTTTGCCTTTGAATGGGAGGACCCTGACACCCATAGAAAGCAGCAGCTAAGATGGACAGTTCTGCCTCAAGGGTTCACAGAATCGCCAAATCTGTTTGGGCAGGCTCTAGAACAATTGTTGGAATCCTTCAAACCAAGTGAAGGAGTGGTGTTAGTTCAATATGTGGATGACCTGTTGATTGCTGGGAAGGATGCTGAGTCTGTAAGGAAGGAAAGCATTAAGCTTTTGAACTTCCTGGGTAGCAAGGGCCTAAAAGTGTCTAAGTCTAAGCTGCAGTTTACAGAGGAAAAAGTGAAATACTTGGGACATTGGCTGAGTAAAGGGTGTAAGGGATTAGATCCTGAAAGAGTGAAGGGAATATTGTCAATGCCAGCACCTAAAAGCAAAAGGCAAATTCGACAAATACTGGGACTTTTAGGGTATTGCCGACAATGGATTGAAAATTATAGTAATAAGGTAAAATTTTTATATGAAAAACTAACTAAGGATAAGTTAGTGAAGTGGACAGATGAAGATGAGAATAGATTGGAAGCTCTGAAGGAAGATCTGATAAATTCTCCAGTACTTAGCCTTCCAGATATAAAGAAACCTTTTTATCTATTTGTAAATGTAGAAGATGGGACAGCATACGGAGTGCTAACTCAGAAGTGGGCAGAACATAA